TTTCTTCCATGCAACTGGGCAGATGAGGCGGTGAATGTGGCTGAGTACGGAGTTCCCTTCGACTGCGGTCGTCGGATGTGCCCGAGTCAGCTGTTGCAATCGTCAGGCGCCTCTTCGGAGTAGACGTCTGGCCCAGAAGTGACCGGCCACTGGCAGGCTCCGGCAGCGACTTCAAGGCCTTCGTGGATGATGCACGCATCGGCTGGTCGTGAAGAGAGGCTCGAGTGAAGATGCAGGTTCCTTGTCTCTCGGGCAGAAGATCAACTGTTGCCGGGCTCAAAGACGATCCGTTCATGTGCCCGGGATTCGTCTGTCCCAGGAAATGGAGAGTCGAGAAAGTGAAATGGAAAAATGCAAACAGATTTCAGGTTTCCAGGAGTCACTTGGTTTGCAAGTATTGAGTTCACTTCTGCTTCGAGGTGTGAAGTGTGTGTTATGTATTGAGGAGACTCGAAGGTCGATCCCATCAGAAGACGACCACCAGCAGATTCTTCTTAGCTATACTAGAACATTCTTGTTGACATTGTCTCTGAGACAATCGCATCCGATTCTGGTGGAGACAGCATCATATACATATATATATATATATAAATATATAAATATATATTTATATACATACAAGGTTTTAATTGATATGGTTAGATCGTGTCACAGTATGTTTATGTGTCTTCATGTGAACGTATAAACACGGAACCCGCACATGCTTCTGAATTGACATATGTTTTGAACCAATCAAATATCTTTTTACCTAAAAAAATGCATATATTTATGGTATATATACAGCATTTAGGGGTAATCAGGCTAGTTATCTTGACTCGTCAGGTCGGAAATGGTCGTAAGAATGATAACATGCTAGGATGACGCCCGTCAAATGAAGGAGGAGAGCTTAGCACATATTCACCAAAATTGAAGAGATCACTTCGGGGACAGCGTCATCAAGAATGATCAGGTATAACAAATTGACAACGGCGACCGTCAAGTCTCTTTATCAGACACACTTTCGGTCGAAATGGAAGTGGTCTTACCAGTCAAGATAGGAATAAACACTGACAAGCCTTATTCTATTAAAAAATGTTTCCAAAACCCTCCATCCCACAATGATTATGAAGCAGGCTGAAGGTCATAGGGTTTTCAAAGCGTCGCGTATCGCACTGGCTCATCGTGGAGGTCGTAAGAAGCCACCGAATTCCACAAGAGAACGGCGCTTCCTCATGTCATGACCGCTGAAGCCCAGTAAGAGCAAACACATAAACTCAGTGGCTCCGTATCGTTCTGAAAAGACGAGAGGCATTGAGGCAGCACTTTTTAGTTCAGAGACAACTCTCCTTATTACAGCCACAATAAGTATGCTTCAGGGCTTGAATAAGAACTACATTTAGCCTAGGCCACATGCAATGCCAAAGGACGGAAATGAGTGGACCTCACGAGGCCGTCTTCTCCAGACTGGACTGCAGGTTCGACTCTGCCTCAGCATCGCCTCGGTAACTCAACAAGATCCGCAACTGCTTCGAGTCACGCCAGCGGCAACAAGACCCCATTCCGCCACATAGTCACAGCCATTTTGGAGACAAGACGGCATGAATTCCAATGGTGATGTGAGGTATGCACAGTTCATTGTGGGGCACTTTAGCTATCTGCACCTCATCAGTTTTGTCATCAAGAAGCAGCATCCATTCTTGTCGGAAGAGTGCGCAACAAATTTATCTGTGGCTTCTTCGTCTAAAGCAGCTTCGATTGAGGTCAAGTTGGGCCCCAGAAAATAAAAAAAGATACGAAGAGAAACTTGGTTTCGATGAATCTCCTCAGATAACATTGTTAGGGCGACCTTCATTTCGTATGAAAGTGCATGAAGAAGAGATTCGTTGGTCGATCTCACCAGATGAGGACGGATGCCTTTTGGCTTTTATACGATATTCATGTTGACGCAGTCCACGAGACTTCCTTCCTCGTTTCGGGTGAAAACGTGCTGAGCCTTCGTCCATCATCAACCCGAAACGGCTCAACACACTCTCTCTCCTTCGATCTATCAATCAAGCATAAATAGTTCTTACTCAACTTTCTACCACTCTTCCTCACATTCAACATATTTTCTAATCTGTTTATTTCAATATGAGATGTATTCACCCAGTTTTATTTAAGGTAGAAGAATTTACCGACATTTATATGAATAGAGCTGGCATTTCACATGAAAACGTAGTCTCGAAACAATACTTAAATGTAAAAAAATAATTTCAATAGCCTATCTTATCTCTCTTTTAAACACACACGTACCCTATTCAGCAAACCTACTAGTTTGAGAGCGTTCTATTTCATGTCCAGTTTCTACCACGTGTTCAGCCACTTCTCACCGTTGGATCCAGCTTCCTTTACAAGCATTCTTGTTCTTACAACCGCATGAACAAACAATCTTGTAGGATACAAAGAGAAACTTAGTTTCGATGAATCTCCTGAGATAACTTTGTTAGGGGGACCTTTATTTCGAATGAAAGTGCATGAAGAAGAGATTCGTTGGTCGATCTCGCCCGATGAGGACGGATAAAACTCGTACTACAGCCGTTTGGCTTTTATATGATATTCATGTTGACGCAGTCCACGAGACTTCCCCCCTCGTTTCGGGTTGATGATGGGCGAAAGCTCAGCACGTTTTCACCCGAAACGAGGGAGGAAGTCTCGTGGACTGCGTCAACATGAATATGGTATAAAAGCCAACCGGCTGCAGTACAACGAGTTTCATCCGTCCTCATCGAAACCAAGTTTCTCTTTGTATGCTACAAGATTGTTTGTTCATGTGGTTGTAAGAACAAGAATGCTTGTAAAGGAAGCTGGATCCAACTGTGAGAAGTGGCCGAACACGTGGTAGAAACTGGACATGAAATAGAATGCTCTCAAACTAGTAGGTTTGCTAAATAGGGTACGTGTGTAGTTAAAAGAGAGATAAGATAGGCTAATGAAAATTATTTTTTACATTTGAGTATTGTTTAGAGACTACGTTTCCATGTGAAATGCCAGCTCTATTCATATAAATGTCGGTAAATTCTTCTACCTTAAATAAAACTGG